TAGGGAAAGCATGATCATGAAAAACATGATCATGATGATGGTTTAATGTGGCTGGCAAATTTAAATATGATTTTTTTAATTAATATGCGTTATATCGTAAAAATTATTATTCAACCTTTACATTTGGTCCTCCCAATTGTGAATATTTGGTAACATCCTTGATGAGCTGACTAGACTTTAATTTTTGTTTTGAATCAGATTTTTACAATTATATTTCATAGAAAAAAATACACATACTTATCACGACTTGTAGTCTGTCCTACACCAATGCCTCTAAATAAAACTTCAAGCTAATTTACAGACTTAAAAGTTCTTACTATTTTACTCAGAAATACTAAACAGCTGGAAATACCAAGAAAACCAATGTACACCAATCTTAAACACCTAAACAGCATTTTGCACCTATGAGTCTATGACAGAGAAATGCTGTCTAGTAGGACTACATCAGCCACTCAATAGGTTTTTAGACACAGTCACTGCCTCATTCGGTTCCAGATTCTTTCATGGAAAAATTCCAGAGGTCTGCAACCATCCACCACAATTATAACAAGTTCATGCAACAGATTCGTCCCTTCTTACAAGCCTACAATTGCTGGGTTACTAAGGACTAAAGCATGCATTGTATTAAGTGTCCAGTGTCATACTCATAAATCAGCAAACACCAAAACCCTGAACATAGCCGACAGCCAACATTAATGGACAGGCGATGACAACAAATGTAACAAAACGGTTAGTAAAAAGCTGTTGTCAGACATAAGCAAACAACAACTCACTTGCCGTATTTGTAAAGTCTACTTCGAAAAGTGTAGTTGATAAGAACTTAATTAAAAAAAATTAATTCACTCAGGTTCGAACAGGTTCAGGTTTAGTGATAAGTCGCGTCGTCCCTGACATGGCATATATAGAGTGCATTAACGCCCACCCACTCTTCCAGCTGCATTGGTTACAGAAGCATCTCTCCTTTTATCCTTTTACTAAAAATCATAAAAAGTTATATAAACCATGAACCATAGCAGAAAAATATTTGAAAATCAGAGAAAAAGTACAAGACTGCGTGCTGAATGGCTTTAATGCGGGAAAGAACTATCCCATTAAGCATTGCGAATAACAATTGAATTAAAAAGAGAAATATAAATATTGATTTAAACACTTGATTATCCATATGCAAACGATACATTTTATGTTCACTGCAAATGCAGCAAGTTATAAATGACTGTTTATAAACTGCATATCTTGCAGTGAACGTAATGTATTGTTTCTATATGTATAATCAAGTGTTTAAATCAATAGTTTTATATATAAAATATGATATGATTTTATATGAAAGCGTAGGGAAGTTGACTATCATTCGCAGTGTTTTTCAAAAATTCTATGCGCTACAAATTTCTTTTGGCGCAATTGTCTCAGTTCTCTGATTGGTTGAGATTTCTCTGCTGAATCATGGGTAATGTAGCTTTTCCACCAAAAGTGTCACTGTTGAACATGATTATTTAATGGAGTGGTAAATCAACTATTTTCAAAGGCTTGATTGTGTTTATGGGGTGCAGTGTAACATGTGTTCATGCTTTGTAAAAAAAACAAAAAAACAACAACATTATTTTCACATATTCTACCTTTATTCTACAATGCTGTTTCTGTTCTCCTAAAAACAGTCTGTTCATTTCCTGAAATACGCAATGGGCTCGGATAGGTTAGCTGGCCCAGTGTGTTGTGATTCGCGAACTGCCTAATGCACGTTGTCCGGAAATGTCACACCCCCTTACCATTATGGATAGTTGCGTGTTCCCGGGGTTTATATACATTTTAGGGTTAGTGATGTCACAAACCCAGGAAAAAGCTTGTTGTAGTCCCTACCAGCTAGGGATGGGCGGTATCTTATCATTTGCGATATACCGGTAAAAATTCTCCCCACGATAAGAATTAAGTCTTCCCGCGATAATAATGATAAAGTCTAGTTGTTGACATATTTCTGTGTGAGACTGCGGAGCGACATTGAGGAAGGTGGACGTGAAATTGAGGAGGAATAGCCTATATCGCTAAATGAGCTCAAGCTCCTTTTACAATCTGTAACTGGTTTGGTTAGGGCTGTACAGTGCACAAAAAAATTGGTCTGAATAAATGTACTACAGTAGCACGTGTGCGATACAGTTTTGCATGTGTATGAGCCTGTTTACAAACCTGTTGTCCAACAAAGATATAATTTATTGACATGCTTTTTCTCCAAATTAACTTAACATAGTCGAGTGTTTGAAATACTTCTTTTTGTGACCAGACGTGGTTTCATATTACAAAATGACAGTATTATATACAGTGATAAAGGCCATGTTGATTAACATTGCATTATAAATATACTTTCCTTACAAAAAATACCCAAGATTGAAGAACACAGATAAACCATATATTTTGTGCAATCGTATGTTTATTTTCCTCAAGTTTCATCAGTTAAAATGTCTCTATCGCCGTTGTGCGTTTTATTCAGCGATAACTGGATACCTTCCTGGAGCATCGTCAGTAGTATTTCTTCTGCTATGGATATGTGGAGTTTCTGTGCAAGAGTGCCTTCCGGCTTCCAGTATGAATTAAACAGTCTTTACATTACGTGTGTACTCAATGCTCACAACACCCTATTTTGGGTAAAAATAGGAAGGATAATACTTTTCTCTAAAGAAACAGGATACCCTGAATTATCGTCAACGCAATAAATACCAGAAATATCGTGATATATTTTAAAGCACATATCGTCCATCCCTACTACCAGCCTTTTTTTGTAGTCCTTAAACAGCGATTTCTTTAAAAGAAAATATCTCCCTTTGCATTGTTTATGCTTTAACAGCAACGCACTAACTAGGGATGGGCGTATCGATCCGAAGTATCGATATATCGATACTGATGCGAGTATCTAAAGTATCGATACTCAAACAATAAATATCGATACTAAGGTGTGTTTTATTTACCAGTGATTTTGTTTATTTAACAAAAAAATAATGCATTGAATTGGACAAAAAACCTATGTTAGTAAATAAATAGTTTGCATTTTATGCGTGCAACAGCCTGTCGCTGGCAGTCCCTTATGAAAATGAACCATGGTTTTACTAAAGCGACCATAGTTCAACTGTAGTATTTGTAGATTCGAATCATATGTAAACAAAAAACTAGGGATGCACCGATATGAAAATTTTGGCCGATACCGATGACTGATAATTCTTTATTTTTGAAAGCCGAAAACCGATATGTTGGCCGATAAATCTATATCCCAATTTTTATATACTTTTTGAGAGCCTGGTTACAAAAAAGTTCTCATCATTAAAACCCACATCCCAAACACTTCAACATAAGCAGCTTAAAACAAAATAAGTGGTATCGCCCATCCCTAGCACTAACAAAAGTTAAAAAAGTGAAATCAATCAACCATCCTTTAAAATATTAGTTGAAAAATGTGGCTTCAACAAAAGCATATAACCATTAACTAAACAACTCTGTAGCTCACAGTTGGATCTGTCTTTAAAGTTTTATAAGTTAATCGCTAAAAAATTAATTTATAAAATTAATAAAATTAAATACATTTCCCTTAAGAAAATGAACAGGATTGTGAGTTCCAGAACCTGTTGCACACTAGAACACTCCAAAAAGCCCAATAAGCCCATTACATTTTCTTTTCAAATATCAAGTGTTATTAAGACCGTTTATTGTAATTTCATGTGTCCCAGTTTAGCTTGTTTCTGATTTGATTTAGTTCATTACACGGAATTCAAAATAAAATGGTCATTTACGTTACACGTTCGGTTCTCGGTTCAATGAGTCAGTGAGTTTATGACTCGAAAACCACTCTAAACGATTCGTGAATGAATCTTTCAGACCGGTTCAATCGATTCACTAGCAACAAGATCCGACTCAAATGATCGAATCGCTAACGAATCAGAATCGCTACTACACTAAACTGTTAGGTTCCACAAGCGACCCAACCCACACAGACCAGGACACCCCGGCTAACGTGCTAAAGCTAACCCCCGGCCCAACACGTCAAAAAAGGCCCTCCGACACTTCATCACACGCAGAAGGCCACAGAAAGCCAGCGCAACATTATAACGCCCCATCCCGACCGCAAGCAAGCGAACGCTGCTGCTGTAATAAATCAAGCTCTTCTCACCCGTCAACCCCTGGGTTATATTTCCTCGTCTTCCAAGGCGTGCCGGAGTTGTCATAATTGCCGTTAGTCCAGTTAGAGATCAAGTAGTTTATCCCATAGGTGCTGGCTTTATTATCGCTTTTCCTCCGGCCCGGATGATGGTGGTGGTGATGGTGGCTGTGAACCGCTGCCGGATGGGACGGGTGGCGCTTCATGCAACTCTGCTGCTGCTCTTGATGGAAGTGCCGTAGATGAGGATGAGGAGGGTGATGATGGTGGTTGACATTATTCAGCACGCTCTCGCTGCAAATAAAAAACGGATGGCCCTTGTTCATATTCCCAGCGATCATATTAGGGCTTGTAGTCCTTATTTTAGAGCAGCTGGACGCCGGATCCGCCACCGAGCCGGTCTTTTGGGTCATTTCGCCGTCTCCCGTGTTTCCATTTAACGCGTGAGCCGCAGAGCCGCTGCTTTTAATGTTAGTGCCGTTATTCGCATTGGACGCGACAGTTTTATAAACGTCAAACGCCGGAGAATTGACACAGAGGTTGTTGTGGTGGTGGTGGTTCTGGTGCTGACCCGTGTTAGTCCGGTTTACCCGAGACGTCTCCCACACACGCATCCATAAAGCGTTCGCAGGACCTTTCTGTTCCGGCTGAATCCAAGCGACCCTCGGATCCATTCAACTCGTCTTTCTAGCAGCGCTGTCAAACAAGCGTTCAGCGGAGAAGTTTGAGTCCGGACCGCGGGAACGTGTCTGTAAACGGGGCTACGCAAGACGACAGGGAAAATAACGACGTGCCGAACGCCACAACCAACGGGAATCAATCAGTGTCCCTTTTCCCCCGCTAGCAATAAACTGTTAGCTAAACTATACAGCGTTTCCAATATGGCGTATTCCCTTGAACCCCGAAATCCAGTACGCATGTGTAGGATTTAAACCATCGAGGCAGCACACACCCCCGAGCAGCAACCCCACCCTTCTAAACGGCTTCAAGGCGAGGGAGGACACTTTTGAATTTAAAACCCAGCCTAAAATCAGCCTACACAGCGAGCGACGCGGCGCGATTAAAACACGCGACGCGCGCGAACTGAAAGCAGTTTATGAATACAATGGCCGCGTGTGCAATTATTGATGCATCTAGATTATTTTTTTTAATTCATAGTTTTGTTATGATTTTCTTTTTTTATTAGATTTTCAAAACACAAACACAAAAATAAACCACAACAAACAAACACAAGCAAGGAACAGATACGGTCAGCACTGCTTATAAATATTGCATGAAATACCATATAGAGTTTACTAAGTACAAATACATATGTAGCTATAGCCTATTTGTGTGTGTGTGTGTGTGTGTGTGTGTGTGTGTGTGTACCCTCTGAGACCCAGAAAAGAACGTTTTGTGAATTTATATATATTTTTTCATGTCATTACATTGTTTAGAGCATAAGAAAAAAATAAAATAATAAAAATGACAATTTTGAAAAATGATATTTTATTCATATGTTATGCTATGTCCTCTGTAGAGGACACCAGGACTCAATAAAATAATAATAATAATAATAAAAAGACATGAATGAACATGAATAGGCAAAAACAATAAATTAATACATTTTTAAGTTTCAGGATTTTTTTTTATACCAAACTTTGTATAAAGATGATTCTCAACCATGAAAGATATAACAGGATGATTTGATATACCATTTTGCTGTGTGTGTGTGTGTGTGTAAAATGGCCATGAGGGCTTTCTCATTATACAATGTATATACTGTATCCAATTTGCATATTAATGTGTTCTTGGACAACATGCAGTGAAAAAAGAAGTGTAATTATGGGAGTAATAATTGGCAAGATTTTCATAATAATATCTACTATTTCATGGAAATATTGATATATAATAATATATAAAGTGTCTCCCAAAATGGTTTTAGTCCTGGTGTCCTCTACAGTGGACATGTATGAAATCGATGTCCTGTTTCGTAACAGGAAGTCATATTTTGATTTGAAACCCCATAACATTTTCCTGAGATGTTGATTTATGACAAACAGTTAAAAAATTAGTCAGATTTAAATGTTAATTACAAAATGTTATCACATTTCCATAAGGGTGTTAAATTTGGTCACTAAATTAATGTCAGTCATTTTTAAAGACCAAGGAGAGGGAGTGGCCATGATGAAACTTCCAAACATTTGGTATCTCTGAAAAGCCCTGAATGTGCTCTGTACAGGACTTCCAGACTAAAAACTGTGACATGTAGGTTCTCAGAGAAATTCACTAAAATATAATGTCCTCTATTGAGGACAAAAGCCTATTCCTGGGTCTCAGGAGGATACACACATACATAGGCTATAGGCCTATTACTTTGTTAAATATTGTGAAAAGCCAAACAATAATTTGGCATCAAATATTTAAAGCATTTAGTTATTGGAGGATAAAAAGTAATATAAAATATGCTTTTGTGGTTTTTAACCTGTTACTCCAGGGTCACCTGTAAGTCAGTAATCAAAGGTCTCCCTACTAATCCTAGTTTTTTCTCTTGTACATCTGCTGAATTTCTTTAAATAATTAAGTAAATAAATAAAAAATAATCATTATCATTATTATGACGAATCTCCATTTTTAAATACATTCTTACATTAAAAAAATAAAATGTGTACAAAAAATGCTACATATGTAACAAAGCTGTTTTCTTGATGGCGCACAGATGCAGAATGTGTTAGACAATCAATCAAACAGAAATCTGCTGACAATGGTTTAGCGGTTTGCCAAAAAAGGCCCAAATCAACCTTTTGATGCTAAACACAGTACACAAATACTTAAAGAAAGCGAAACTGAAAGCAATGTTGATTATACTATGAAAAGTGTGCAGCAATTTAAAGGAAGTAAAACAAATTCATGATCCAATTTGAAAGCAATTCATTTTCACAAATAATGACAAAAAAAAAAAACTTATCAGCAGGCAGCAAAAGAGTCACTTTTTCTCATGAAAATAAGGGAACCCTAATGGTTAAACTGCCATCGTGCTTTCAAGGAAAGAAGAGGCATTCTCTGTTGATGATCATAAATCATAATCTGACATGATGAAGAAGAAAGCAGTGATAAGTTCCTCCCACTGTGATTACGCAACGAGTGCTCTGTGCCTTCAGCGCACGTGCAGCATGTGTAAGGTGGGGGAAGCTCGACACGGTCAGAACAGAACACACATCTGGTGTGCTCACTGTTAGTGTGCACTGCTGTCACACTACATGCAGAGAAGGTTAATCCATACAGCGGATTGTCAGTGCTGCTAGTCTGGAATGTTAAGTCTTTTGCATGCTTCTACATCACTCAAAGCCTTAAGCCCGTGTGAGGGGGTTGGAAAAGGTTATATGTATGCATGTGTGCAATGTGGTTTGCAGGGGATTTCATCATTGCTTTGCCTGAGGCTGGAGTTATTTCTCCAAAGAACGATTTCTCACTGCCCGACATGATGACACCTCCAACAGCTCCAGATTGACCACGAACATCTGAGGGGAATCAACTAGAAGGATTTTTTGAACTTCAATGTCAATAAATGAAAGAATTTTGGAATGATGAAGACTGGAGTAATGATGCTGAAAATTCAGCTTTGCATCACAGGAATAAATTACATTTGAAAATATATTAAAATAGAAAACAGTTCTTTTAAATTGTAATAATATTTCATATTTTTGATTTTTACTGTATTTCTGATCAAATATACTGAACAAAATTATAAACGCAACACTTTTGTTTTTACTCCCATTTTTCATGAGCTGAACTCAAAGATCTAAGACTTTTCTAATGTACACAAAAGGCCTATTTCTCTCAAATATTGTTCACAAATCTGTCTAAATCTGTGTTAGTGAGCACTCCTTCTTTGCCGAGATAATCCATCCACCTCACAGGTGTGGCATATCAAGATGCTGATTAGACAGCATGATTATTGCACAGGTGTGCCTTAGGCTGGCCACAATAAAAGGCCACTCTAAAATGTGCAGTTTTATCACACAGCACAATGCCACAGATGTCGCAAGTTTTGAGGGAGCGTGCAATTGGCATGCTGACTGCAGGAATGTCCAACAGAGCTGTTGCCCGTGAATTGAATGTTCATTTCTCTACCATAAGCCGTCTCCAAAGGCGTTTCAGAGAATTTGGCAGAACACACAACTGCAGACCACGTGTAACCACACCAGCCCAGGACCTCCACATCCAGCATCTTCACCTCCAAGATCGTCTGAGACCAGCCACCCGGACAGCTGCTGCAACAATCGGTTTTGCATAAACAAAGAATTTCTGCACAAACTGTCAGAAACCGTCCCAGGGAAGCTCATCTGCATGCTCGTCATCCTCATCGGGGTCTCGACCTGACTGCAATTCGTCGTTGAAACCTACTTGATCTCATGATAATTCGTATGTATTTTACATAAAATGTGGTACTATAAAACGTACACAGCCATTGAAGAGGAGTGGACCAACATTCCACAGGCCACAATCAACAACCTGATCAACTCTATGCGAAGGAGATGTGTTGCACTGCGTGAGGCAAATGGTGGTCACACCAGATACTGACTGGTTTTCGGACCCCCCCAGACCCCCCAATACAGTAAAACTGCTCATTTTAGAGTGGCCTTTTATTGTGGCCAGCCTAAGGCACACCTGTGCAATAATCATGCTGTCTAATCAGCATCTTGATATGCCACACCTGTGAGGTGGATGGATTATCTCGGCAAAGGAGAAGTGCTCACTAACACAGATTTAGACAGATTTGTGAACAATATTTGAGAGAAATAGGCCTTTTGTGTACATAGAAAAAGTCTTAGATCTTGGAGTTCAGCTCATGAAAAATGGGGGCAAAAACAAAAGTGTTGCATTTATAATTTTGTTCAGTGTAATTGACATAAGATACTTCTTTCAAAAACATATATATATATATATATATTCCAAACTTTTGGCCTACAGTGTATAGGTGTGTAAGGCAGTGTAATGCATATGATTAAAACACACACACACACGTCTGGTTTGCTATCCTTATGGGGACTCTCCATAGGCGTAATGGTTTGTCTACTTTACAGACAGTATTTTCTATTGTTATTCACCAACCCTACACCTAAACCTACCCCTTACAGGAAACTTTCTGCATTTTTAGATTTTCAA